GATCTGTGCAGGGTAGTTAGTAGTCATCAATGCCCCCCCCCCCCCATCCTCAGCGTGCCAACAGCATTTGCCATCCATATATGCTTCTCTTTAATGCATAGAGATAGTGACTAATGTACGCCAAATGTTCCACCAGACGTTTCAAATTAAGGTATTTCGTAATTACGGTAATAAACGACTTTCTGATACAAATTCCCAAACGAACCAAGTTTATAGAGACGCTCAACGCATGGACGTTTATGCCTGAAATAACTAAGACCCGATGAGCTTAATAGAAGATTTATGGTCTATTCGTTTTTGTTCAAACTAAAGATTCAAAGACGTTGTTGTTGGTGGAACAGCCCAGCGCGGGAATTGGGATACAAATGTCGATGAAAGAGAAACACAAGCTATTCTGGATAGGGTCGCTGAATTTGAACCAACAATTAAGGTATTTGTTTGGACTATGCGATCATGGTACACCTATAAGAGGTACTCTAGACCATCTCGCTAATATGGACACCTCTCTAATATGGACATCTCTCTCAAATATGGACACCTCTCTAATATGGACACCTCTCTAATATGGACATCTCTCTAATATGGACACCTCTCTAATATGGATATCTCTCTAATATGGACACCTCTTTAAATACAGACATCTATCTAAGACAGACATCTCTCTAATATGGACACCTCTCTAATATGGATACCTCTCTTATATAGGACACTTGTTTATGACAGCCACCTATCTAATATGGACGCGTCTCAAATTTGGACACTTCTTTATGACATACACCTCGCTAATATGGACACCTCTCTAATATAGACAGCTCTCTAATATGGACACCTCTCTAAGATAGCCACCTCTCTAATATGGATACCTCTCTAACATAGACAGCTCTCTAAGATAGACACTTCTCTAAGATAGACACTTCTCTAAGACAAATCCCTCTTTAAAACTCTATGATGTATTCTATTTTCTTAGAAAGGTACCATTATTGATCAGTGGGTAGGCTTGAGACCAGTACGAGATTCCGTCCGTTTGGAAAAAGAAGTCATGGATGTAAAGACACAATACGGCTCGAAACTAAAGTTACAGGTACATAGTATTACGTATTTCTAACCACACAAAACCAGTTTTACCGTAGTAAGAATATGGGTCTCCTCCGATTCTTTTGTTCTCCGAGGGAATATACCGTACGGCTCGTAAATTGCTTTTCAGGTAGTTCAGACACAAACGACGACAGCTTATTCACCCCCCTCACGCAAGATTTATTCTTTTGTAGGTTGTTCATAATTATGGCCACGGAGGTGCGGGCTTGAGCCTGTTTTGGGGCTGTGCTGAAGAAACCAAAGACCTGGTGCTTACTACTCTATTGCATAGTGGCTTGTGATGAAGAAATGATAAGAATGAAGTTTTTAATTGAATGAAGTTTTTAATTGAATGAAGTTTTTAATTGAATGAACACAATACAATTGTATCTATATTTTATCTATATATATTTGTATATTCTCCACAATATATATGTTCTTTTTACAAAATTGAAACTGTCCAAAGGACAGTTTAAAGTTACTGCGCTGTTTCTTAAAATTTAGTCAATGGAAACAATATAAAAGACATTTATAATATTTAACCATTATATATAGGCCGTGGGCTGTTGGCCAAAATTATTTCGCTTCGTGGCACCCATGTGGGAAATACTTGGTTTGGGGTTTATTTGAAAGGCATATAGGTACATCACTACCAAAAAAAGTTCCCAAGCAAAAAAGTTGCCCAATCCCGAGAAAATGGGTGATAAATGATTATCCTCTATTAAATTGTATTACAGCAAAAAAATGGGAAATTCTGTATTCAATTACAACAAAACTGACTTGCATCATCGGAACACGTACAAAAAACCGCATATAAGACTTTTAAACAGTTTTTTGATTTTTCAAATAGTATTTGAGTTATTGCTGTTTTAAATGTGAAAATTGGACCAAAATGTCGCAATAAGGACTGGGTACTAGGTCAAAAACGTGTTTTTGACAGCGTATAACTCGAAAACAATTATAGATATAAAAAATCTGTTTAAATGTCTTATATGTAGGTTTTTGTAAGCTTTCTGATAATGCAAGTCATTTTTGTTGTAATTGAATACAAAATTTTACATTTTCTTGCTGTAATACAATTTAATAGAGGATAATCACTGATCACCCATTTTCTCGGTGTTGGGCAAGTTTTTTGCTTGGGAACTTTTTGTGGTAATTAAGCATCTATGGTTCAATGAATTGAACCACAGAAAATCTATTTCCCAAGGAGGGTGCCATGAAATTGCTTTTCTAGGCACTTTTTTGCACAACAGCCCACGGCCTAATACTGATTTCAAATGATTAAAGCCATGTAATACTAAATTATCCCATGCAACTGTTAGGGAGGGCGAAATTTTGAATGGAGGACGAAAACCCTAAAGAAAAGGTGAAGTTTCTAAAGAGGGGGCGAATTTCCTAAAGGAAGGCGAAATTCCTAGGATTTTCGCCCCCCCCCCTCCCCCCCGGGGGGCGATATTCCTAGGAATGTCGCCCCGGGGGGCGAAAATGTAGGGGGGGCAAAAATCCTGGGACACCGGCTCTTCGAAACGAGCTATTTTTATCGGGGAAGTAAAGAGAGCTATTAAATGTTCAACCGACTCTGTATCACAAAATCAATCACTCAACCTAATCACAGAATTATTCGTGGCCAACGGATACCCTAAGAGTTTTATCAAATCTGTGATGAGAAGCACTCTTCATAACAATAGACGTCAAAACCATGATTAACGACAATTCGTCTATTTGAAATTACCATTCATCAACGGAGAATTCAAACGACGGGCTTTGGGGGGCTTAAATCGATCACGCATATACAGAACGTAAAAATACATTTTATAAAGTAAAACAGAACTGTCCTGAGGGGTGTGAGACATGCAAAATATCATCCAAACCAAATCGCTGCCAAAACGGAATGTGATATGTAATATTTTATTATATGGCAAGCATTTGTTTTGATGAATCGTGCAATTTGATTGGCTGCTGACGAGGCAGGATTTTCCCGTATTGCCCACGGGCAATACGCAATTTTTATTGCCCTGCGACGAGAGCCGAGTTTCAAACGGCTAAAAGTGTCTAAAAGTCTTTCAAACTATTCAAAACGAAGAAAAGTAAACCTAAACTAAAGGAAATGAGCACCTTCTGTGTTTAAAGAACTTTCTCAATATGTTTTTTTTTAGCGAAAGTCGAAATTACAAGGTAAATTTTACAATGTTTATAATTATTAAACCAGTCAGGAAAAGCTGTGTTTTGACTTTGTGAAGAGCTGCAAATTTTATTTGCAGATAGCCGAGGAATTTGACATCATCCTAAATAAAAACTACAACTAAAGCAGCCACAGGTTTATATTTTTTCCCTGAAAATTTCTGTTTTTGTTCGATAAAAAGAGACATATTTTTATGAGATGAAGCGAACTAAAAACGTATACTTGTCCATATACTGTTTATTAATTTTGTTTCCATATTTGTTGTCTTTGATTAAATGATGAAATACCTCGTATTTTTCTTGAAATACTATCCAAAATGTGTTAGTATTCTATATAAAAAGTGCTGTAGAGTAGTTTTACTAACCAAGAGAACATTTTTTACAATTGTTCTTTTTTGCAAATGGTTAGGACTTTGTACTTTGCCCTCGCGTGACCTTTTTTCCATTTTTGACAAACGTACAATGCCATATAATAAAAAAACTTACTGACTTCAACCGTTCGGGCAGTACGGGAAGATATCCAACCTCGGTCTTGCTGTATTGACCTCGCTATCGCTCGGTCAATACAGCAAGACCTCGGTTGGATATTTTCCCGTACTGCCCTCACTCTCGGTCAGTAAGTTATTAATTTTTTCAGCATGTGGAACCATATACATTGGGGAAACGGGACGAACAATTATAGGATCAAGAGTAAAAGAGCACCTATAACCATGGAGAAACAGACGGTATATAAACACTTAGCATCCATAATAAATGCAAATTTCCGCAAATAACCTGGAGCATTTTAAATGCAAACATGCATTAGTAACCACGAGGAACGTAGAAATACAATTAGCATATAGGTTTTAACTAGCTTTCCGTATTGTTTAGTATTCTTAGGACACTGGACTTTTAAATTTAGCATTTTATCAATAATACGTACATTTTTAGCATTTTAAATTAGATAAACACTTGTATATATATAGGAAGGATATAGTCCGTGTGTTGTGACCTCGAAAAGTGCCTAGAAAACAATTTTCATTAAGCATGTCTTAGAACTGAAATACTTTTACGGGAACTAACACTTTTGAACACGCTGAGTTCAAATCCGAAAAGTTCCCACTCCCTAGAC